ACACTCCCACCAACAATGCAGTAAGGTTCCCTTCTGTCCACATCCCCTCCAGCATCTGTTGTTATTAGAATTCTTGATTATAGCCATTCTAACTGGGGTGAGGTGGTATCTCAATGTTGTTTTGATTTGCATTTCTTTTATGGCTAGGGAGGTTAAGAATTTCTTCATATGTCTATTGGCCATCCCCTTTACTCTTCAGAGAAGTTTCTCTTTAAGTCTTTAGCCCACTTATTTATTGGGCAGTTGTTTCTTTGAGGATTTGTTGTTGGGGGATTTAATTTTTTGCATTCTATGTATATTTTAGATATGAGACCCTTGTATGTTGTATAGCTAGTGAAGACATCCCAATCCGTGGGCTAGAAATCTTTTCTTATAATTAGAAAAACCTCATATCTTAATTTTGTCTTTTACTGATTATTAGTTACCAAGTGTTTTCACTCATCACCCTGAAAACTGAGACAGATAATTTAAAAAGTGAGCTTTTCTGTAATGACGAGAATTCATTTTCAGTAAGGTTTCCACAGTAAGGAAAACATAGAGCAGAAGTAAAGATTATTAAAATGATCGGTAGTTCATATGTACTATGAAAGGAATATAAACAATGTAATTTAAAAATATAATTCCTTTAAGTTAAATAATGCAACAAGAAGTAAGACTTTTTTGGGGGGAGGGGGAGAAATAACCTTTTGAAAATTGGAACATAGTTGAAAACTCAAAGCCACTCAAAATACTCTGATTTCAATAATAAAATATCCTTGTTTAATTACGCATGCCTGCTTAGCTATTTTAAAAAGTATACTTCTTAAACAACTGAGAAAATAAAAAAATGGATATCATTATCTTTGAAAGCCTGAGGGCATAAGTTATTTATGCTTAGTATGAAACAATTGAATCCAAGTCTTGACACTTGGGAACAATTATAAAGCAAGCTTCATATTTTCCAAATCCTATGACACATTTTGTGAAAGCTGCTATTCCATCTTAAAAACTAAACAAAATCTTTTTTAGATTTATTTTATCACCTAAGTTTTCTTTCTCATTTTACATTTTCTTTCTCCTCTCCACACCTGCCTCTGTTTATGAGCTGAAACTAATAACTACTTTTTATCAGAATCAATTTTTTGAAAGTGTTTGATGCAACTTTTCTATCACTTGGTTTCCCTACTCCAGTGTCTCATAGTGTTTAGTTTTTGTTTGCTTCTCTTGGTCCATTTCATATAATTACATTCCATTTCAATTTGATTTGCAGAACTCTTATATGTGTGTCAAAAATCATTTATGTATTGATGACATTGATGGATTTTTTTTGTCAGTTATAGGGCTTAAACTCAGGACCTAAGTGCTGTTTCTGAGCTCTGCTAGTGCTCTATCACTTTGAGCCATAGATCCACTTCTGAGGTTTTAGTGGTTATTTGGAGACAACAGTCTCACAAACTTTGCTGACTGGGCTGGCCTTTAACCACAATTTTCAGATCTCAGCCTCCTGAGTAATTAGGATTACAGGCGTGAGCCACTGGCACCTGGCTTGATGGATCTTTTTAATAAGTTTACTGGCCATCAGTGTATTAAATGTGGTATTCTATACACTACATGCATGTATGAAAGTAATAAAACTATCTCATATTACAAATATCTGGTCACTCAAAAGTTTACAAAAATGTGATGATCCACATCAAGTGATTAGAAATAGCACTACACAAATAGCATTACTACTGCTACTAATTCACCACATTGTTAATTGTAAGGAAGAAACATGACCAAGAGAATATTTTCAAGGAAGAGTAAAAGAAGGAATGAATTTGACCAAAGTGCTTTATATGTATGTGGAAACATACAATGAATTTATACAACTAATTAATATTTCTATATATAGATACATTTATCTCATTTATGACAATATTTTTCTCCAACTAAACTATAAATACATATAACTATAAATAAACTATAAATATAAATTTAACATCAGTAATACATTTTATTTATGTAAATTAATTAAAGAAATATCCAAATATTTAACATTAACCTGTTCCAGCCCTTTAAGAAGTTCATTCCTATTCTATATGTAATTGCTATACACAAGTATATCTGTATATATTTTCTATGAAGTTGTTTGTGCAAAACAATCATTTTAAAATATAATGAAGTATTTGGAAATTTCAAATATCCATTTCAGGTTGGCCCTTTATCCTAAAGTAATGGATATGACAGTGAATGGTCTCAACAAATAACTTATAAAAAAGATAAGAAACTTTATATTTACCATTTTTCTATATGGACAGATTTACTTGTAAGTTCATAAAAGCAGTGCTGCATATGGTATTACACATGTGTTTAATGCCAAGATGAAAATATCTAGCTGAGTTCATAAATGGAAATAGCTTGCAGTTAGCAATTTTTAGGAGGAAACAGTAAAGAATTAAAGTGTCATAGAGTTGCATACTTGCATCAGAAAGAAAGGTAAAATCAAACCAGGCTAGCCAATCAGTCTTGTCAATTATATTTACTCACTTTATCTCATGTAAGTCTTTCCATTCTGGAATATAGGAGAGCCCAGATTTTTTTCCCTGGAAAACTAATTTAATTGTTAGATGCATTGCACAAAATTTTCATTTCAAAACTATCAACAATGTATCTACCAAATAAAGTTTACATTGTCCAAATTATTTATTAAGATTATATAGTTAACTGAATGCTGGTGGTTCATTCCTATAATGCTGAGAGGTAAGAAGCTAGCCCAAGCAGATCAACCCATCAACCCATAAGACTCTGATCCAAATTAACCAGCAAAAAACTGCTAATTTCAGTATGGCTTAAGTAATGGAGTATCAGCTTTGAGTGAAAAAGCCAAGTGAGAATGATTTCAAGCCTCAGTACTAGAAAAAAAATTTTTTTAAGAAGATTCTATAGCCAAGTAAAATACTCAGTCCTTGGAGAAAAGATTTTTACAAGGTTGTATACCTTTTCCTTATCCCAATTACCCCTTCTCCCCAGTCTCATATTATGTGTCCCAATTCCTTTTTTACATGTGTACATTCAGTATTAAACTGCATTTATGTTATTTTTTCTTTTTTAATTTAATTTAATTTTATTTGTGAACATACTGTACAGAGGGGTTACAATTACATGGGCAGGATAATGCGTACATTTCTTATCAAGCATTGCAGCCTCCTCCTTTGTTTACCCTTCACATCCCTTCCCAGCCTCCCCCTTCCCCCCCCAATCCCAATCCTTCTCCTTCCTCCCCCTTCTATGTTATTTTTTTCATTCATACACCCACTTCCCATTAGCCTCATTTTGATGTCATTACTGTTTTGAAAAAATAAACATATAATTAATTCTCACTTTAAATATTCCACGTAAATATATAAAATTAAGTCACATCATTCATTCTCTCATTTTCATATATTAGGATAATACTGAGATATTGTCTACCCTTTTGCTATCTGCCAGGATGGAAAATCGATGGTGTAAATGTTATGAGCATGAAGGTGATGGAACAGGAGCTGGTGGAGTTTATTATCACTAAGCACTTGTTATACAGTCTATAATTGAGTTCTTATGCCACACTTGAGGTATATGCCACACTCAATCCTTCAACCACAAAGAACTCTTAATTTGAAAACAGAATAAGAAATTAATGAAAATATTCAACAGTACTAATACCCTTAACCTATATCTAAATAAGGTGAATAGGATTCTGTGTGTGTGTGTGAGAGAGAGAGAGAGAGACAGAGACAGAGACAGACAGACAGAGAGAGAGAGACAGAGAAAGACAGAGAGAATAATCTGGGCTTCCAAATCAACCAAGGTGATACTTAGGGAAATAAATTATTGATAGATATCATATTTTATGTTAAAGCTTTCAATGAAAGAACAATTTTTAAAGTTAAAAAAGCAAAAACTTGGACTGGGAAGGTGGCTTAGTGGTAGAGTGCTTGCCTTGCATGCCTGAGGACCTGGGTTCAATTCCTCAGCACCACATAAGCAGAAAAAGCTGGAAGCGGCGCTGTGGCTCAAGTGATAGAACACTAGCCTTGAGCTTAAGAGCTGAGGGACAGTACCCAGGACCAGAGTTCAGGCCCCACAGTCAAAAAAAAAAAACAGCAAAAACTTTAGAAACTATGTAAAATAAGTAAAAACTATAAAAAATAACATTTTAATATTATTCAAAGAGAAAAATAGACAACAAAAAATGAAAGAATTAAAATAATATTGACTCTAAGATGCTTTAGAACTCCTAGTTATGTTTTATATTCATTGTTAAAATAAATGAGATTTTTAATAATTATTGTATTATAATCATGATTATCTAATTATGATTATAATATCAGATAAATAATAGATATGTAGAAATAATATAGAAATCAGTAACTTGCCTAAATATGAAATTCAAATACTTCTTGAAACTGCCCTGAATGAGATAAATAAGAGCTATAAAGAATCAATTTTTTTTGCCTTACTAGATTATTTTTATTAGTGTGGGAAAACCAAAGGGTGTATTCACACAAAGAAAGACAGCTTTAAAGTTACACCTTGCGAATCATCTCCATGATGTTAGTAATAAGCAAAATATATTGCAGTGCATGACTACATCTTTTAATATGCAATTCCTGTTAAACTACATTGGATATGTTTTCTATTTTTAATCGAGTTAAAATATACATAACATAAAATTAAATACTTTCTTTAACTTTTAGGTGTAAGTTCATTGGCCACAAATACATTTGTAATGCTGTACAATTGTATCCACCATATATCTTCAGAACAATTTTTCTTTTAGAATCACTCAGATCCTATAATCACCATTTTGTTTTTTAGTTTCTTATTACTTTACCTCATATATGTAGAAACATAGAAGTTGTAGTTTGATTTTGTGACTGATGTGTTTCGTTTAACTGAATATTTTCAAATTTTTAATTTTTACAAATTTTACATGTTTTGTAGTTTTTCAGAATTTAATAGTTGTGTCTTTTTGTATTGAAAAATTTTATTTACATATACTGTTCTACTTTGTTTCATGTAATTTTTTCTATATTTTGTCTGACCTTCGTATATATCCACCCTTGCTTTCTTTTATTATTATTTTCATGAAATACCTTTTTCCATCTTTCCATGTGATCTATATGGGTGTAATTGTAAATAAATTAAATTCTCCAATCAAAAGACAGATTCATAGGAGAGATTTCTAAAAATCCATCTCTATGTTATCTATCAAGAATCAATTTTTTTAAGTAAAACTTTTAAGAAATTTAGAGGCATGAGTTGTGAATTGAAGAATGTAAGAATTATGCTAGAAATAATTGAAAAAATGAAAGCCCTTATAAAGTATAAGAAATACATTATGATGAAAAACGCATCCAAATTCTGAA